GGAAGAGCACATCAGATGGGTACTGCTTATGAGGCCGTTCTCAATACAGGCAATTTTATTCACGTTCCTAAACTTCCCTTTAAGATGACTTATATTTGTTATTTTTGATTACATGTATGACTGCATGTCTGGGGTATGTGTGTGGGAAGACAGGTACTCCCTTGAGCTACAGCTACAGGTGATTGTGAGCTGCCTGACATGCGTGCTGGGAACCAAACTTGGGTGGTCTTCAAGAGCAGTAAGCACTCTCCACGCCTGAGCCGTCTCTCCAGCCCTACCCTTTTCTTATTTTTAAGAACACTGTCCTAACAAGATGCTGTGGCACTGTAAAACCCAAACACCACATTGTGGAACCTATGTTCTAAGTGAGAGCTAGTAACTCTCTGAATTTTGTTGATCAGAGTTCTAGGTAGTCCTCATACAATGGACAGAAGGCCACATCATCCTCAAGCCAAGTGGACAGGACATCGGTGGGTCAATGGTCGTCTAGTATAAGAGTGTTCTATGACATTTAGGATATTAGCAAGCATAAAATTCAGATGTATTCTGAGAGCAGAGAAAATGGTGAGTGTCAGTGTTTGTAGCCATCACTGCAGAGACATGTCCTAAAGAAACTCCTTGTCTTTTTGAGACAGGGTCTCCTTGTACCCCTAGCTGGCCTGGAACTCTCTATGTAGACCAGGCTGGCCTGGATCCCACAGAGATGCACCTGCCTCTGCCTCTGGAGTGCTGGGATTAAAGGCGTGCATAACCACACCCAGCTAAGTAACTTCTTTCTTGACCTAATCAGTCCTGAAAGAGCCAAACACCTAGAGGGGAGGAAGAAAGCTTATGTGCACATGTGCGTGTGTGTGTGTGTGTGTGTGTGTGTGTATGAGTATGAGTAAGGAGAGTGGAAAGAAGTCAGGTGAGTGGTGACTGAGGAACAGGAGCAGAGAGATGAGAAAAGTGTGTACAAAGGCCATACTGTCCAGTGAACTCAATCAAATTCTATGACCCAGGGCTTAGATGGAGTTCACGAAGCAAGGGCCATGCACGAGATCCATGGGGCTCTAGTTCTCACTGTGTCTAACATGCTGGTTATATTTATAAAACAGAATCATAACTACATCTGGAACTTTTACATAAGAAATTAAGGTTGTCTTACATGCCAGATTGATTTATATTCCCTGATAAGATGGCAAAGTAAGGATTTAGTTTGCTTTGCGCTCTTATAACTTAGGTTATTATTCATACTTTATTTTGCAAATTGGTGGTAACCCAACTTGAGTCAAACCAAGAGTTCACATGCCAAGTTTTGGTCTGAACAAGTTTTGTATCCAATATATACTTGGCCTCAAAAAAAAGAGGATAGACTAATAGAAAAGAAAGCGTTTCCTGCATTCTGAGGTCAAAAACAGATGTGAGCAGGGTCCTTATGGAGAGTGGCTAGTTAACATCTGGTAATCCCTAATGCATTTCACCTCATGTTTAGTATCAACAGCCATTCAGTAACATGGTGAGTTACACAGGAACAGAATTTATAGATTTCAAAGACAAAGCCAGAAAATTACTCTGTTCTTGGCCTGCTTCCTTCCTGGGCAAGCCTACATAATTTCTTTCTGGTGCTGCTATGTTTAATAAAGCTATGAGATTGGTTAGATTTTGGTTGAGCCCAGTGGGTTTTGTTTTCTTTGTTTTATGACTCAGGGACAAAAGGAAACACAAAACCTTCTGCTTACTTTAATCAGAGACCTCTGGGTTTTTTTTTTTCCCTAAGTAATAGAACAAGAAATTGATAAAATAATCTCAGAAAGTCCAATGTTCATGGGGTGAGGGGGAGGCGAGTAAGGATAATGACAAGACTAGATTAATTCAAAGCTTTTCTTTTTACTCTTGGGTACTGTGTTATTTCTCTTTCCCTTTCAAACAATTCTTTTCCGCAGTGTTGCTGCCCACTATATAGATTTGTTGGACATTTACAGGGAAGAAACGTCCATATTTCTGACCAACAAGGTTTAACAGACTGGAGCTGTCTCACAAAGCTGATGAGGAAGAAGTTATGATTCTCATTTTTAACAGCAACAACTTAAGACTCCACATATGCTCAGACTCCGTAGATATATTCATGCTCAATTACACAAATTAACAGTAATCACGCCTTACTTTGACAGCAGAGGCTAGCCCACAAAAATCAATCAGTTGCTAAGTGATTTAGAGATAGTAACAAGGTAGCAATGTGTGTATTTACTCATCAGCCTCCCAAGAACAATTGGCATTGGAAGAATTCCAGAGCCCTTCACAGAAGTGACTCCTTGCGTTTCAGATGCTAGCCAGGGCTGTGGAACAGGAGAGAGTTTGCACAGGCATTCTGAGTTACCATCTGAGATTTAACCAATGAATGTGTTCTCAAAAGATGTTTTCTAAGTTTAGAGATTTCTAATTCAAAATAAACCCATCCTGATAAAGGCACCTGTATATATTACAGTAATGTTACTACACTATCAATCATGGGACAGTGCTTTGTACCTTTGAAGGTTCACATATGCTGTCTCATGAGATGCTAGAGAGACTGTGAGATAAAAAAGTTGAACTTTATTCCTATGTTACAAATGAGGATCTAGATGTCACAGCAGACTAATGATTGACCGTAGGTCATGTAGCTTGGAGAATTTATGAAAATTTCTTATAGCCATTTAAATATTTAGTAATCAGTCAAGCTTCTGAGTCAGATGAGGAGTCATAAAACTGAAATTTATGGCTGAGATTTTCTGATTTCTAAATTTTGCAACAACAAAATATAAACATGACTAAACAGGAAAGTTACAATACACATGATTCAGTGAGGAGTAGGAGAGGGCTGGCCTTCGAAATTCACATCTGCATTAGTCAGAGATCTCTAGAGAAACAGAATCAACAGGAATCTGCAAAGTTGTTTTAGTCCGATGGGCTGGGAGGGCTCCCTAGACCTAGGAAGAGCCTGTGAGTCACAGTTCAAAGACCATCAGGACAAAAGAGCTTCTC